CGTTTTAGTCGTTCCGTGTTAGTAATTAATTCTATAGCCTACTTTGTTACCCACGCACCAGATAAAAGCCGTACCATCAAACAGATAATTTATGGTAGTTATTGCATGTCCATGAACGCCAGTCAATTTGCGTGGGTATGGTAAAATGAAAGAAAAATCCATTACCATTGGCTATTTCTGACACTACCTACACTATTTTGTATCATAATAAATTGGTTCTCATGAATTAGATGTACGCGTTTACAGCACTTCCTATTATAATTATAGCAACCGTTTCGCCACCCCACATTCTCACAGGTACAACAACGTGTTGCACGCGCAGTGGCGTAGAAAAATATTTTTCATTGAGTGGGGGGGGGGATGATTGGCGTGTTAGCCAGTGTCGTAACAGGCGGGGAGGCAGGGGAAAAACTGCCCCTCCCCTGACGGTTTTTACCGGGCTGACCAAGCCGTCGTACCGGGCTGGGTAATAAGAGAAAAGAAAAAGGGGAGTGGGAGGGAAAGAGAAAGAAGAGGAAAAGAAAAGGAAAGAAAAAGAGAAGAGAAAAATAAAGACAAGAATAAAAAGGAAGATATCATAATGACCAGACTCACAACACCCCCTTCTCCACTTCTATGCTGCCCGATGGCGTAACCACTGGGAGACAAGGGGAAAATATCTATCTTTGAAAAATCTTCCCCATCCCTTTATAAATGCCTTTTCATCCCCTGAAAGTGCCTAAAAACCTAAAATTTCGCGCGCATTTCTTGTTAACATGGCCCAATTTCCTCTAAAAATTGCACATTTTAGGGAGTTTTGATCAATTCCAACGAAATTAGAACTAAAAACACCGGGGACAAGGAGAAAATATCCATCTTTGGAAAATTTTTTCCCCACCCCTTGACAAATGTATCCTCTGAAAGTGCCTAAAATTCTCAAATTCTTTGCGCGCATTTCTTGTTACCGTAGGCCAATTTCTTCTATAAATTGCACATTTTAGGGAGTTTTCATCAATTCCGACGAAATTAGAATTAAAAACCCAAAAATATTTTGCGCGCTTGGCGCGCATTTTTTAGGGCTTTTTTAGTTTTATCCTTTTAAGTTATTTAAACACATAATAGTCCCAAACTCAAGAAAGACAAATTTGAGATAGATCATTTTAACCATAATCATTTTAATGTTGTAATGATGTTGTTTGTACTGTTCTTTAATTTTATTAAAGAGGGCCCCTGAATATCAGTTAACCTACTGAGCTAAAATAGAAGGGTTCCCCTCTTTAAAGATGGTTGAAATAAAAAATAAAAAATATAAATACCCACTCTGACCTAAGACCCCTGTTACGCGCCTGGGGATGTGCCCCCCCCCCTCTGAAGCTGGAAATCTTGTTTTTGCAAAATAAATTGATGCAATTTGCTATTATTGGCCTAATCAATAAATTCCTCATCAACCTTAAACATTCTTGGAATTGACATAACATTACTGATGTCGTACACACCCTTCAGTGTGAAATGTGGCTCTCTTTGCAAGCACATCTAACATCTAAGGAAAGAAGAGCTTAGATTGGTACCAGATAAAATAATTTTGTTATCAACATTAATACATTATGCTAATTTTCATCTTTGTAAAAGCATAAGACAGTGCAAATTATTTCTGTGACAGTCTTTTGAAGTGTGTAAAGCTCCATTTTATCCCATACATAGTCAAAATATTGGGGGGGGGACCATCCCCCCTTGTCAAATATTGGGGGATATATCCACCCATCACCCCGAGATCTACGCCAATGTGCACGCGCGATTCACGTTATGGGTCTTTGCTCTTTTCTCGAGTTGGTGGTCTGATCTGTGAAATATGAACAAGAATCCCTGGTATTACGTAATAATAATAATAATAATAATAATAATAATAATAATAATAGTTATTACGTAATATTATTGTCATTTCAATAGAAACATATTTATTATAAGAAGTATTCACACTGTGATGATTAGCCTGGAAATTATTATGATTTTGTTAATTTGTTGAACATTTCTGAAAGCTGAGTAATGGGGCTGTATCTCTGTTGGAAAAATCAGAAATACATATCTCAGTGGTTTGCAAAGAACTTTGCATTTGCAGTAATCCGCTTTAGGCCTTACTTGAACTTTAACATAACTTGAAACATTTTTAAGAAATAATTGTAATTTGTATATCAGCTAGTTAGGAAAAAATGTATTAGTCAATCTAACTTATGAGAATTTATGAGAATTTCATGTAGGCTACTACAAAGGAGATACATTCAATTTTACTGACTTTCTTATGCAAAACAACTGCACTTTTGATTTCCACACACGTACAAACGTAGGCCTAGGCCCTACTACGCGTGGAGCGCTGAAACCATCGTAGTCTTATCATAGTCTTAACCATTTAAATACGCGTTGGATAGAATCTTGTCAACTAGACGTAGGCGTGTCGAAACCCGTAATACTGATACGAACTGGAGCACCGCATCTAATTTCGGGATGAAAGAATAAGATATTTACACTTTAATCTGACCTTATGATCAGACTCAGAATTTCTAATTGGTTTTTACACGTCGATGTTCGTCCGGGTAGGCTTAAAAAAAATAGACCAATATTAATTAATGAGCTAACAAAAGTGGTTCTTTGAATCCGGGATCATTAAAGGTAAACGAGTTTTATATTTCTTATGTGGAAGGAACGTGCGGTTTTTTTGATCATTTAAATCACATAAATTTAGGTGGCAAACGAAAAATTAAGTACAATGTTCATCGGGAAGTAGTAGTAGTAGAAGGCCTAGTAGTAGTAGTAGTATATCTGTCTCTTATACACATCTAGCTGTGTATAAGAGACAGGGTCTATAT